GAGATGAAGGAGGGCCTGGCCAGAGCAGATTTAAAGATGCTACTAACCCGCTTCCACGCTCTCTGATACACTTGGGTAGGCCAGAGCCACTTGCTTTATTTTTACAACAGCTCCCAACATCCTCAAATGCTCCCGACTTCCTTTAGCACACAGCAAACGGACGGCTACCTTTCCTAAGATAGAGGTATGGACTAAATGTTACTTAGTCTAACCATCTGCCTTTTCTTGGACGATACACCAGCTTGAAGGTTTTCAGACCATGAAACAATAAAAACAGACCTGAGGTGTACAAAACTGCACCACATACTGTTAACAGAGTGGACTGTTTTTCTAACCACTAAATACAACACTGTGCTGCTGGGCCCTGGACTCACACATCTGTGCCCCGAGCAACACATCTCTGTCCATCCGGAGGTGGGAGTGAAAGGGGGAGGTTCTCAGAGGCTAAACAAAACACCTGAAGCCAATGAGATTTTGGAGAGGAGGGTCCCCTTGGATTCTGAGCAAAGAGTGCACGAGCCATGTGAGAAGTGGCAGAGGGAAGGTCTGAGTCTGTGCGCTGTGGCTTCAATGCCTGCCATTCCCTTCGGAGCTCCTTCGTGTTCTTCGGAGGAACACAAGCCGCCCGCTTGCTGAGCAAAGGTCCTCCAAGTCCTCCCTGCATTTCAGCGCTTTGGAAGTTCTCCAGAACCTAACTTCAGATCTGTTCCCTGTGGAGGCTCTATGTGGGACAGATCTTTCTGGGTCGTGGGTGTCTTGATCATCATCAGCCTCTACCTTCCCGGGCGTAAGTCATATCTGTTATGCCGCTGGACTCAGGAAACAAAAACTAGAGGTCTTCTTTAGATCATTTGTTAGTGACACATCTTCTCCACAACAAACAGAGGTTAAAGACCAAGGTTTAACCCTGAAAAGCTCCACCCCCCAAAACGGGACAATAAAGAGGGTGACAGAGGCTACGTGGAGTCATTGCTGCTTTAGCTTACCATTTTCAAGTTGGCATAGAAGTGCTCAGAAAGACAGGTTCATATGGGTATTACTTCCCCTAGGGATTTATAGGTAATCTCACTGGAAAAATGATTTCCTGAGGGTGCCACTTCACCCCATACTAGGGAGAAGCAAGTACGGTCTCAAGGCCCAGCACTGGGATTTACGCATCTTGCTTTTTCCCTAAGGAGGCCCAAAGACTTACAGTTTTGATCTAAACGCCTGATTGGGCCCTCGAGCCCAGGGCAATTTTACTATACTGTTGAAATGTTCTCTGAAAGGTACACCCCACAGATAACTTCCACAGGCGTAAGCAATTTAGCAGGTAATTGTTCCAGAACTAGAATTTAGGTTCCACAAGTCAGTGAATACAGTCTTCACATCTGGCCTGGCTGCAGAGTGTGTGGAAGGATGGGCAGCACATCAAAATGGCGAGAAACCTGGAAAATACAACGCTGCTGCTTTTGGATCTTTTAAAGCCAATCTCTAGGGTTTTAGATGCCTTTTTTGGTGTTCTAGGGACCTCTGTGCGGGGTTAAGAACTGAGAATGTAAACCAAAGGAAACCTAGAGCTAATGATTAAACAACTGGTTGCTGGAGGAACAGAAGCAATGCATGTCTACCTTTTAGATATTAATCTCGCTTTTTTGGCCAAAGGCGCTTTCTTCTCCAGCAGAATCCCCCCTGGTGTGAATTGTGAGTTAATGTGGCTTCCCTGTGAGCTCCCCTTCAAGGGGACCATCTCATTTTCTCAGACAACGAAAGCTCACCAAATCTTCACTATAAATGAAGCTTCTGGGGACTTAGAAAGCTTCATATTGCTGACTCACAAAATCATGCGACTGCTAGCCTCAGCTCTAGCAGTGTGTCCAAATCCTCACCAAATGGCATTCTTTCTCTTTTTATTTATTAATTTCTAAGGGGACTAGGAGGACGAACTATTGGATGAATCTGAGGGCAAGAGGTATCATTTTCTCAGATGTTCTGATTAGGCTTCTCACATCCCTGAAAGGTCATCAGCTACGGCGAAAATGTGGTTAAAATGTGAAGCTGCCTTTGTAGGGGCGGAAGTAGAAGGGCTACTGGACTCCAAATGAGAGTCTGCCTAAAATCTCCAGGTTCCCAGGGCCTGGGGTCATCTCAAGTCACCTAATCAACAGACAACAGTAGCGTTTACAGATTGCAGCCAATGCTTCCCAATTTGCTACCTGAACATCTCAAATGTCTGCTTTGGGTGACATCTAAAGTGACGTGGAAAACAGCTCTTCCGGGACGGTGATGTCTGTTGCAAGGCTCACCCCAGAGAACAGAGGCTGACCCTGGGGCTGCTTTCCCACCTGCTCCAAGTGAGATGGGTGCCCGGCTGGAGCAAGACTGAGGTCACCAACATCGGCTGTATAGCCTGGAAGCCTTGGGGAAATGGGTTCCATCCCAGCAGGGCTCAGAAGGAATGGCTGTCACCACAGCTGGGCAGCATGACCTGTGTCGCTTCAGGTCTGACCTCTTTTAGAGTTTTAAGAATAAGAACCACAAGAGCCACTGCATTATATAACCACCATTAGATAATCTCCTCGCCCCAGAGCCTCTTGTGCTAACTTGTCTCCTATTTGTTATAAACATGTGCGTTATTTTCTGAAATGCAGAAGGGACCAGGATGAGCCTTGATTATCAATTAGCTAATCCTCATTTCCCTGAAAGCAAAAATTCAGCCCCCTGTGACTTCTCCAGGTCTTTCTCCTAATTCTAAATTTCCTCTCATCTAGGCTGGACTTTGAGAACACTTCAGAAGTACTAAAAATCACACAGTTGCGGCAAAGATCACGCTGTGGTTAAGTCCTTTTTGTGAACCAAAAGAAATGTGGCTCAGGCTAAGCTGTTTTAAAAAAAGATCAGGTGGGGAGACCAACAGAGGCACTCCTCCAGCACGCGGTGGAAATGATGAGCACGTACAGTAAGTACAACGTGAGATGCACACCCGGTCCGGCGGGAGACGGACTGCTCCTCTGGTTACACAGGTTCTGGAGGGGAGGGAGGCCTCCAAAGAGCACTGTATGTGGGCAAGAGAAAGGAGGAGGAGGAAGAACGGTTCTGTGTGGATGTTTTTCTCTTCAAAACAAAAGGTGATTTTTTTTTCTTCTAAGCAAGTCTAAGCTTACGTGGACTGACTCCTAACATCAAAACAGAAATTATGTTCACGAAGGAACTTGACTGTGTAGCAACACATTTACAAAACTGCTGCAAAAGCCTCCCAGAGGGCAGTGACCCGCTCTGCTCCCCAGAGGCTGCGAGAGGCAAGGCCTGCTGCGCCGCGCCATGCCGAGGGCGGAAATCCTGCAGTGCAGCCACCTTCGAGGGGCTTCCACGGCCTCACAGGGGGTGTTCCTCCCACACTCTTTGATCCCTCCAGATGGCCTCAGCTCAGACTCAGCAGTGCGGGAGCCCTCTCCCCACAGGGCAGATGGGGCAGCAGACACTTGTAAAAACAAAACCGTCAATTCATTAACTTTTCCATCCTGCCAGGTTTGCTACAAGAAAAATCAAGACTCCTGTTTCATGGGCTGCACCATTCTGGAAGGCTACAAAAAAAATCGAATACACCCTGGTGTATTCGACCCCTGGTAGCCATTCTCTCTCTCTCTGGTAACCCTTCTCTCTCTCTCTCTCTGGTAGCCCTTCTCTCTCTCTCTCTCTCTCTCTTTCACACACACACACACACACACACACACACACACACACACACACACACAGTCCTGGTTCAAAAAGATATGGCATGACCTCACGGATGCTTCCCCAGTGGCTGCAAATTGATAAACTAAAAACAAAGTTAATTTTAAAATAGCCAATGCTGTCTTTCTCTATTCTGAGCAGGGTGGACTGTGATGGATGGGCTAGTAATAAACCAGAGTCTAGGACGGGCAAATTCACTGTGAGACTTTATATCTGCGCTGTACACAAGAACCTGTTTGTGCCAAGCCTGAATAAGGTGAGTACTTGCAGAATTCACGGCAAAAGCAGTGTCCAAGAAAGACTCTGTGAGTGGGATCATTTTTGTGCTTTCTTCTGTTTTCTCCTTGCTTTCTGTGGAGCGGGGTAACGGCCACTGCAACCAGGGCTCTGAGTAATCTATCACAGAAGGGTATGACTACACACCAGTGAAGACAGCCATGGTGTTAATGGTGCCAGGAAGGGAGAAACACCAATCCCTGCTCATCAGGATCCCAGTGCAACAGAAAATAGCACCAGTTTCAGCAATTCTGGTGTTGGACAAAGCCTCTTTTTGTCAGTTAAGAAAGCATCAGCACAATCTCCCCAGTTAACTGCATTAATAGGATCCATTCATGTCACTGAAAAATACTTCTTGGCACAGTTCACTTTCCTGACCCAAAGACGCCAACATCAATCCAAACTGGACTTGGTAGGGTAATGTGTTGTGACACCAGCCCAGTAAAAACATCTTTAGATCATGAAAAAATGCACAAATTACTATTAACACTGCATTTCTCTTTTCAGGAGTCCTGTCTGTTTTCCTGCGAAGTACTTTCAATCCATATCATAAAGGTAGAATTTAGTTGGAAGAATGTGTTTTTTGGATTCCACTTAGTGCTTGGTTGAATTTATTACCTTTTCTCCTTTACTTATATGGACAGAAACTCAGACTGCTCTCAATCAGGCAACAAGCAGCAGTATGTTCATTTTTGAGTAGGACATGTGAACAGTGAGTTGGTATTTAGAAGCAAATCCCATGGTGCTGTTTCTGTCCAATGGAACCCTTACTTAGGGGCAGAATTCCTTTCCCAGAGGTAGGACAATATCCTAGGCAAACTGTGAGCACTCCTTGTTGATTCTGTGTCTCAAGACTGGGAGAGAAGATACAAACTGAGAGCAGACAGCAAAATTTAAAGTTCACCGAACGATGTCCCCCCAAAATGTTGAACACTGAATGACACAGGCCTATATCTCTTATATATATATATGTATATATACATCACTTTTAGTGGGAGGGAAGAGCAAAAGCTTTTCAAAGTTTGAGTATTTATTAGAATTTTTAAATAAAGAGAACTACGATTTTAATTTCACATCTTGGCTATGTTTTGACAAAGGAGATGCCACTAAGAGCACAGCAACAAACTCCTGTCCTAAGCCAGGGATTGACCAGTGTCCCCCCTCCTAGACCCACCCCTCGATCTCAAGACCCTTTTCTGCTTACTTCCCAACTAAACAACACAACTGGCAAATGAAGCCAGCAAGAAGCCTGTATCAAAAACCAACGCGACAGTTTGCAGTGAGCCAATGCATGATGTTGCTGTTCTAGTCAAGGACCGAGCATTCTCCCATACCACTTCTCAGCAGAAGATGGACCTTTTGCGTCTCAGCAGGAGACAAATTTACTATTTCTGGGCATGCTCCATGGTGCAATTCCAAATGCTGTCACACTGCAAAGATAAGCAGACACCTGAATTTTCCTCCTGTGTACTTTTTGGGAACTTAACATGGTCACCCAGGATGAGGATGGGGCCATACACCTGCACTGGCCCAGGCTAGCCAGATGCTTCCGCACAAGGACAATGTCCAGTGCAGCGCGGTGTAAGGCATGGATGCACAAGGAGAGAGGCCACTGTCAGCGGTAAGTAGCATTATGGAAAAAACTCCAACCCACAGGACAGAAACAGTGCTTGATGCTCCAGTTTTTTAGACAGCAATTCCAAGAATCCAGTTCAAATCCCCACTGCCAACACATAGGGAGGAATTCAATTTCTATCATTGTTTCTCCAGGTCTGAGCTGAGGCCATTTGCTCCTGGCTTGGTAATAAAAAAGAAAATAGGTTTCTTCCTGTGTCTTTCTTGGCATGGAAACACAGCTTTGAGAAGGCCATGAGTCTTGGGAGCGCTATGAAGGCAGCTAAACTCTTTCGGTACCCTACATAACTACAGTCAGTGACTGGGTAAAGGGAGAGGACCGGGAAACTTACCTAGCCACTAGCATCAAAAAACAAAAAGGGAAATTAACTGCGAGGCTCTCCATTTCAGAAACACCCCAATTTAAAAAACAAAACAAACCTTGAAAAATTAAACAGTTAAATTCCTCTTCTAAAAGTCATTTATTTACATATTATATGCCCAGTATATAATGTGTAGATAAATGTATCCTGCAGTGGAAGTGACCAACCTCCTGGACTGAAGAGCGCATTATAGGACAAATTCTTGAAAGGTTTCATCTCATATTGGTATCTTTTAATAAAAAAAAAAAAAATTAAAAATCAAAGAAAAAACGTCTGGCCAGGGCTGGGGTGAGACAAACAGGAACACTTCAGAATCCAAGGCAGAGGGCAGGCTGTCTGTCTCTCTAGACAATTGTAGGGGTGTGAAAAGGGAGGGACCGATCATGCACAAAAGTACTTACAAATTACATACCCACCCCCCACCCCCTCCATAAAAAGAGAAGAAAAAGCCCATCACTTAACACCAAACAGCAACACCATCAAGAACCCCTTTCTCTGCTGCCCATCATGCCTTATTTGGAGAGGAGGCCTGTGAGGAGAGGTGAAAAGAGCAAGGGAGGGAAGATCTGCACTCCAGTCTAGTTTCCAATTTCCATTCCTCTTACACGAAGTCTTCAGTCATCTGATGCCTGGCATCGAGCTCTGGGAAGAAACCGAGTACGTGGTGGCCACGACTGGGGTGCCATTGTTGGCTGAGTAGCCTTGCCTCAACGTTTCAAAATACGATGCCTGCACCGGTTTGTGATACTGCAGCACTTTTATGGCATCTTCTATTTTAAACCATTCCCTCTTCCTTCCTGTGGGGGCAGAGAGAAGAAGAAATGAGGACAAAAGGGAAGCAGCTGCAGGTTTCTGATCTTCAACTTGGGAGAAAGGGTTGATGAAAACAGAAAAGCAATCATTATCAAGACTTTAAAACCATGCATCATAAAGGTATTTTTCCTCACTTTCTTTCCTTACAAGAGTATATGCTTCAAATGCCATACAGACGCCCGATGCAGAAGACAGGGAAGACATCTGAGAAGTGAATTGCGTGAAACCCGCCCTCCAGAAAGAACCAGTGCTCCTGATCTCCTCTTGCGTTCCTGGGCCTCTGGGCCTTGCCCGGCCTGCATGTATACACCTGAAGCCCAGCCAGCACCCCCTCTTCTGCACAAATCAACACAAGCGTCGGCTTCCAGAATTATGACGATGGCTGCCTTATAATCATTTATTTCAGAATTTTAAGAGTTATATATCCACAAACAAAATATTTTTAAAAATAATACCATCCCTATTAACTTCTCAGTCTGTTTTCTTACTTTTTTTTCAACTTTTTTAAAATCCTTTATTTTTTCTCTTATAATAAAAGATCATTGCTTAACATTAGGAAAATGGAAGAAAGTATAAAGAATATAATTACCCACAACATAAGAAACCAGAAATGACTACTCTCAATACCTTCATGTCTTTGCTTTCTCTTCACCACACCTAAAAAGACACTGTACTGAACAACTATCACTGGGATCATGTTTTCGGATGCTCTGAATCCTCAGAAGCTCTAATAAGAGTGTTGTGGTTAGAAACCCAGATGCTGGAGCTAACATGCTAGGCTCCAATCTCATCACTGGCTCTAATGAACGGTCAGTTTGGGGCAGGTTACTAACTAGGTACTGAGCTGTGCCCCACCTTCCTCATCTCTGGAGATAATAAATAGTACCTATCTCACAAGTCTGCTGTGAGGATTAATATGTAAGATATTTGAATGATACCTGGCACATAGTACATGCTGTAAGAGTTTGCTTATTAGTATTATTATTATTGCTTCTTTTTTTACTTCACACTGTTTCTTAAGTGCTTGTCTGTGTTCTAAAAAAATATGCAGGGTGCTTGGACGGCTCAGGCGGTAGAGAGTCTGAATCTTGATTTTAGCTCAGGTCACAATCTCAGGGTTGTGAGATTGCGCTCTGCATCCGGGCTCTGTGCTGGGCATGGAGCCTGCTTAGAATTTTCTTTCCTCAGGCTTCTCCCCCACACCCCCAGCACTTTTGCTCTTCAAAAAAAAAAAACAACAAAAAAACCTCATCTGTTTTATTCTTTCTTTTAACCTCCCAGAAGAGGCCTAGAACTGAGATTATAGGAATAAAACATGTGAACTCTAAGGGTCTCGTGTTATATAATGCCAAACTGCTTTTCAGAAGGGCCACCCCAACCCCCGGTCCTGCTTGTGTGTGCTGGAATGCCGTTCTCACTACCCTCCCCGTAGCACTGCTACCTTTTCCTCTGTCATTGCCAGTTCTTTAGGTAAAGACGAGTACCTCATTTTTGTTTTCATTTCAAATTCCTATTTTAATGTCACTCTAACTGTACACATAAGTCTGTACCCTGCTTTTTTCATTCACCAACACCGATTCACAAGCCCTTTGCCATGCTATATTAGCTTTCAGAAGTCCGTGTTTAACAGCTGTGCAACGTTCCGTCAGATGCACGTACCTCAGATCACTTATCCTTCACTGAGGCATACGTTTAAAAGCCAATTTCCACCTGAAAAAGGCTCATCTGAAGGAAGGCTCATAGACTTATTCTCTGTATTTCAGATTATTTCAATATTTCAATTCTCAGAAGTAGTAGAAGGTGAAAGGCTTGTTGGATATTAATAGAGCAATGGTACCTTGAAAATTCATATCACAAGTGTGTGACTCCCGCCTGACAAGAGTGCTCTGAGGACAGGGCCATGCCACACTCATCTCTGTCTCCTTTTTAAGCCCTAGCACTGGCTGTCACAGAGGCTATTTTTAATAAACCCCTACTGAATTTATTTACTTAAGCATATTGCATTCTTACCACATACAAGGCCGTTAAAAGCCGAAGGGCCATGAAATGCCCAGATCAGCAGTGTGAGGGGCATGGTGACAAAGCACATACACACAATAAAGGGAGACATTTCAGCAACTGGATTTTATCTGTCTGCCGATTTATAACCGGTTTCTAAATTAATATTACACTTTTCTAGAATATACTTTCCTTCAGAAGCAAAAGATTAAACCATGAACCGACCATTAAATCACCTAAGTTTTTAGTTCCAAAGACACACACCCAACAGTGATCTGAGAGATCAAAGAGAATGGCTCCTCAGGAGAAAGGGAGGGGAACCCGAAGGGGAGTATGGATGAAACTGGAAACTGCTCCCACTACTCTGGAGGGAGCGGCTCATCCCACCAAATCAGCAGCTTTCTCCAACAATATGAATAAGCATCACAAGGAAAAGCCAAGGTCCTGCTCCCAGCTGGAGTTTTGTGGCCATCGTGGAGGAGGGTCAGTATCTGCTGTGGAGGGTCCAATTAGGCTTCAGAAACCACCTTTCTTATTTTTATCTGCATGTTTCTATTTGTTGACCAGGTATCCACCTTCAGCTTCCTTTTGAACATTTCAAAACACTACTTTCAGAAGTTCAAAATGGTCATGCTTGTTTCATTAAACATACCCTTCTATGGTTTCTTTCATCAGGCTCGTTTCTGGGTCTGGGTCATGACCTGTGGCATGGCAAGGGCCCGTGGTGGGGAGCATTTTGGAGGCTATCTGGGGACAACTTACCAATGTTAACTGAATCTTCCCAGTCTTCCAGGACTTCTGTGACAATGAGCACATAGACATACGTTCTGTGCTTCCTCTCCTGGTTCTGAAGGGCAAAGAGAGAAGGACAGAGGAAGAGCTTTCCCTTAAAGAGCTGAGATTACTTGAGTGAAACACACTCTTAGCCATATGTCCCGAGAGCTCAGACACAAGCATTCCTTTTACTTTCAATCATCCTACAATCATACATGGAATAGTGCCAGGTGGCCTATTTAAAACATGCCACACTTGGTTGTGCTCTTTGGCTGGCCTTCTAAAGCCTAAGCTTTAATCTCTTTTTTCGTTCCCCTTTCCCTAAGTACAACTTCACAGGAAGGCTGTGAGAAGGAAGTTTGTGACCTCTCAAGAAAAAGGCACCAAGTAAATGTAACTCGCTGGAACACAAGAAAGAGAAGAGGCTGTGGGCGGGTGGAGGTTCCATCAATGCAAGCAAGCTGATTATCGGGTGCATCTCCCCTTCTACTAACTCTGCTCATCTTTATTTCCCCATTTCTCACTTCCTTCCACCTTCCTCCAAACCTCTACCCAGCCTCTACGCTTAATGACTGAGCCACCCAGGCGCCCCTGTTGCTATTACTATTGTAACTGTTTTAGGGTGCCACAAAGGACGCCCATATAAGACAGCAAACTTAATTAATTCCACTGACCAGCCATTCCCGTCTATCCCTGTCATTCTCCTTATTCCCTGAGACACAACAAAATTAAGATTAGGCCAACGCTGGGCGCCTGTGTAGCTCAGTTGGTTAAGCGTCTGCCTTCGGCTCAGGTTGTAGTCTCAGGGTCCTAGGATCGAGTCCCGCTTTGGGCTCCCTGCTTGGCAGGGAGTCTGCTTCTTCCTCTCCCTCTGCTGCTCCCCCTGCTTGTGCTCCTCCATCTCTCTCTCAAATAAAAAAATGAAATCTTAGAAAAAACTTAAAAAAAAAAAAGGTTAGGCCAATTAATAACCCTACAGTGGCCTCTAAATGTTCAAGTGAGGGAAAGAGTTGCATATCTCCTACTCTCCCTTTAAATCAAAAGCTAGCAATGATTAAGCTTAGTGAGGAAGGCATGCTGAAAGCCAAGACAGGTTGAAAGCTAGGCTGCTTGCGCCAGGTAGCCAATTTGTGAATGCAAAGGAAAAGTTCTTGAGGGCGCCTGGGTGGCTCAGTCATTAAGCGTCTGCCTTCGGCTCAGGTCATGGTCCCAGGGTCCTGGGATTGAGTCCCACATCGGGCTCCCTGCTCGGCGGGAAGCCTGCTTCTCCCTCTCCCACTCCCCCTGCTTGTGTTCCTGCTCTCGCTGTGTCTCTCTGTCAAATAAATAAATAAAATCTTTAAAAAAAAAAAAAGAAAAGTTCTTGAAGGCAATTGTAAGTTCTACTCCAGTGAACGCATGCATGACAAGAAAGCGAAACAGCCTTACTGCTGATATGGAGAACGTTTGAGTGGTCTGGATAGAAGATCAAGCCAGTCACAACCTTCCCTTAAGCCAAAGCCTGTCCCAGAGCAAGGTCCTTGCTCTCTTCAATTCTCTGAAGGCTGAGAGAGGTGGGGAAGCCGCAGGACAAAAGTGTGAAGTGAGCAGAGGTGGGTTCATGAGGGTTAAGGAAAGAAGCCATCTCCATAACACAAAAGTGCAAGGGGGAGCAGCAGGTGCTGGTGGAGAAGCTGCAGCGAGTTCTCCAGGATATCTAGCTCAGATCATCCGTGGCAGGGGCTACATGAAACAACAGATATTCAGTGTAAGATGAAACAGCCTTCTATTGGAAGAAGATGCCATCTAGGACTTTCATAGTTAGAGAGCTTAGTGCCTGGCTTCCAAGTTTCAAAGGACAGAGTGACTCTCTGGTTAGGGGCAGCTGGTGACTTAAAGTTGAAGCCAGTGCTCAATGACCATTCTGAAAATCCTAGGGTCCTCAAGAATAAAGCTAAATTGACTCTGCCTGTGCTCTTATAAATGGAACAAAGCCTGGATGACAGCACATCTGTTTCCAACACAGTTTACTGAATATTTAAAGCCCACTGTTGAGATCTACTGCTCAGAAGAAAAGATTCCTTTCAAAATATGACTGCTTATTGACAGTATACCTGGTCACCCAAGAGCTCTGATGGAGATGGACAATGAGATGAATGTTTTTATGCTGCTAACACAACACCCATTCCACAGACCATGGATCAAGGAGTCATTCCAACTTGCAAGTCTTACTATTTAAGAAATACACTTCATAAGGCTAGAGCTGCCAGATAGCAATTCCTCTGATGGATCTGGGCAAAGTCAATTGAAAACCTTCTGGAAAGGATTCACCATTCTAGATGCCATTAAGAACAGTGGTGATTCATGGAAAAAGGTAAAACATAACAACATGAACAGGAGTTTGGAAGAAGTTGACTCCAACCCTCGTGAAGGACTTTGAGGGATTCAAGACTTGAGTGGAGGAAGAAATTACAGATGTGGTAGAAATAGCAAGAGAACTAGAATCAGTGGAGCCTGCAGTCAGTTAAGCACCCAACTCTTGGTTTCGGCTCAGGTCACGATCTCAGGGTTGTGAGATTGAGCCTTGCACCGGGCTCTATGCTCAGCCCAAAGTCTGCTTAAAATTTTCTCCTTCTCTGGGCACCTGGGTGGCTCAGTTGGTTAAGCGACTGCCTTCGGCTCAGGTCATGATCCTGGAGTCCTGGGATCGAGTCCCACATCGGGCTCCTTGCTCAGCAGGGAGTCTGCTTCTCCCTCTGACCCTCTTCCCTCTTGTGTTCTCTATCTCTCATTCTCTCTCTCTCGAATAAATAAATAAAATCTTTAAAAAAAAAAAAATTTTCTCCTTCTCTGTCTCTCCCTCCACCCGCCCTGTGCTTGTGCTATGAAAGAAAATAAAAGAGAAGAGAAGAGAAAAGAGAAGAGAAGAAACAAAAAGAAAAAGAAAGAAAAAGAAAGAAAAGAAAAGAAAGGAAGGAAAGGAAGGAAAGAAAGAAGAAAGAAAAGAAAAGAAAAGAAAAGAAAGGAAGGAAGGAAGGAAG